GACTTGAAATAGTAAAGCAAGATGTGGTGGTAAAACAATTAACCAATGAAAAGAAAATAATCCAAGAGAATTTTGATGCCATAAACTAAGATTTTAGAGACTTAAAAAAGAACATAAAAGCCAAGGGTCTACATCATACTTCTAAGGCTTCAAAAATGAAACTAGATGGAGTGGAAAGAAGTGCGAGAAGAAGCCATGAAGAAAATAAGTGAGCTATGTAACATGCCCAGAGATTAAGGGAACAAATGGATGAGTCCAATCAAGAGTTAGAATAGAGGTGAGTACAAATTGTACAACTTGAATCACAACTAATTAGTTTATAGGAGGATTTTCAGAATCCCTACAATAATAATGACATTTTCCTTCAAAAAGAGAATGAAGCCTTGAAGAAATGAATATCTAAAATGGAAGGAGGTGAGTTGATTTACTCGTCAGCCTGAGAAATGACTAGGCAAGAAAATGAAGCTTTAAAGAATAAGATTACTGAGTTGGAGGCCACAGTGCAAAAATGCCATGAACGAATCCAACAGCTCCAAGAAAGCCAACCCTTAACTAATCAAAAGCTTGGAATTACACCACATCAAGCTAATGATACCATTCAAATGCAACATAAATCGATGAAGAAGGCAGTGGATTAGGCTAGCAAGGTTGCTCAACAAGTTTTTGAGTTGTCTGAAGAAGTTGTTGCATTGAGAGTTTTTGTGGTTCCAGAATCTGAAGAAGAGTGACATATTATTGAAATGATGATGGAGCTCGAGAAGTTAGAAGATAGGGCTAGATATTATGTGTAGTTCTCTATTGATGTACTATCTTTTCCTAAGTACTTAGGCATTGTGTGTTGTTGAAAACTTTTTGAATGAACTGGTTATTTTGGAATCAATATCTTTTGCACTAGCATTTTCATGTTTTTTAATCTTTAAGTCTTAATGCATGACATTCTAACATTCATTCATTTAATAAGACACAAAATAATAAAATACGATTTCCAATCATTTGTAGTGATCCTGGCCTTCACCTCACACCCTACGGTACTCGTAAGTTGACCAGAAAAATGGAAGAGAGACTAGGCCAAATTGAGCAAGATCAATGAGACACAAGAAGAAATGAGATATAGGCTGAATAAAATCGAAGAAAATATGGCAAGCTCATAGCTCAACTTACTGAAAAAGATTGAGGACATATTCAAAAAATATCCGACTGTCGGAAAGGCCATTGCTGACCATCTAGAATCATCCAATCAAGCACCCTTACATCCACCAGGTTTTGGACCTGAACCATCTCACTCAACTCGCTACGCCTCTGACCTTCAGCACTCATAAAGTTTTACACCAAATCCCCCGCATCCTGCAAGTTTCACACCTGTGTATATTTCTGTTCGATATCTAACTCAACATGAGACTCGACTTGGAGTCTATGTGGCCAACCAACAACAACACCCAGATCATTCATTCCCAATGAACTATCCATCTATGGCTAGAGCAAGACCTATTGAATCAGGCATAGAAGAGTTGCCACGCGACTTTAATGAATTGGCAGAAAAAAGAAAACCAATAGTGAGCTTACTCAGTAACTTAAGAATTTAGAGGAAATGGTAAGGTCTGTAGAAGCAATTGAGCCGTTTTATGGAATGGATGCCAGATAACTAAGCCTAGTCTCTGACTTTGTTCTCCCTCGAAGTTTAAGGTACCATACTTTGAAAAGTACGATGAGACCACTTGTTTATTTGCCTACCTCACTATGTATTATAGGAGAATGACTGGCTATGTCGAAAATGAAAAGCTTTTGATACATATTTCCAGGATAGCTTGTTTGGGTCTGCTGCAAAGTAGTACAACCAGCTAACCAAATCCCACATCAAAACACGGAGGGATTTAGCCAAGGCATTCTTGGAGCAATACCACCATGTCACTGATTTGGTCCCCGACTGATAGACTCTGTAAAATATGAAAAAAATAATACAATGAAACTTTCAGGCAGTACGCCCAGAGGTGATATGATGTAGCCGCTCAGGTGCAGCTTCCAAAACTTGAGAAGGAAGCCACCGTTATATTTGTGAACACCTTGAAGGCTCCGTATGTTAGACATATGTTGGGGAATGCCACTAAGAATTTTTATGATCTGGTTATTTCAAGAGAATTGATTGAAAATACCATTAAGAGTGGAAATATCGAGGGTGAAGAAGGGTCAAAGAAGCCCTATTACATGAAGAAAGAAAATGAGGTGAATCATATGAGCACTTACCACAAAAACGTTGTGGCTAGTGTTACAATCACCCAACCTAAGGCAGAGAAAATGAATACCCATGAGAATAAAGGGCTAAAAAAAGAGGCTATGAGGATGACCTTCTCACATGTTCCTGTATTGTGTTTTGAAATATATGCCTCACTGTTAAAAGCAGACATGGAATGCCCCTATAGGTTGACTCCACTCCAGCTGCCTTATCCTTATTGGTATAATGCCAATGCCCACCATGAGTATCAAGCAGAGATTATCGCCATGACATCGAGAATTGCCTGGCGTTTAAAAAGATTATGCAAAATCTTATCAAAATAGGAGACCTAGAGTTCAAAGCACCATCTACAAACACTCATCCCCTGCCCAATCATGGGGGTAAGGAGTAAATATGATTTGCGAAGAGAAAAATATGAGGTAGAAGAAGGATGAGTCAGAAATCAATTCTCCTCTCAATTGGATGTTTGAATAATTTTGTAAAGCTGAGATGATCAAGGGTAATACCAAGCTGAAGTTTATTGGAGTGGAGCGTATTGTGATTATCATTAAGAGGAGGGTTATGACATTCAGGGTTCCTACGAGTTCCGAGAAATACTTCAGGAAATTATGAACAATGGTGAAGTAGAAGTCTTTAAGCAAGAGAAGATCAAAAGAAAGATGGATGTTTGCATTGTATATAGCTCTAACAGGATGCAAGGAACGAGAAATCTAGTGATCAACACAGTTAAGCCTAGGAACGAGAGCTCATCTTCAAAGACTCCTAAATTCGTGTTTACAACTCCGTCTCCTTTCCCATTTAAAGACACACGACAGGTTCCTTAGAGTTATGCTGCAAATGTGTCTATACCGGAATGCCTGAGATCCTATAAGAGAATAGAGGATAAAAAGAAATCAATCAAAGAAGAAGTGAGTGAGGTAGGACACTTCACGAAAAGTGGGAGATATTACCCACCTAAGACGTCCACAGAGGCAGACAATGCGAAAGCAGAGGATAAAAGAAATCAATCAAAGAAGAAGTGAGTGAGGTAGGACACTTCACGAAAAGTGGGAGATATTACCCACCTAAGACGTCCACAGAGGCAGACAATGCGAAAGCTAAAGCCAAGGCAACAATAGTACCAAATTTTTTTAATGAATAACCTCCACCAGCAATTAATGAGCCGGTGATTGAGCCTAAGGCTTGTGAATACAGCGTAGTAGAGTAACTTCACAAACAGTATGCCAAAATCTCAATATTAGATCTGTTAATCAATTCAGAGGTACATATGAACGAATTACTAAAAGTGCTAAACCAAACATTTGCCCTTGAGGATATATCAACAGATAAACTAGATCGAATCATGGGACATATAATTGTAGACAATTACATCACATTCACTAATGATGAGACCCCAGAAGGTGGGATGGGATCCATCAAAGCTTTATATATCACTACTCACTGCCCACGACCATGTCATGCCAGAAGTCTTTATAAACAATGGGTCCGCATTAAATGTGATACCTTTGGCTACACTGTAGAGGATGCCCGTAGACAGTTCACACATGGGAGCTTACCACAATATTGTCAGGGCATTCGATGGAACCCAAAAAGGCGTGATGGAAAAAATGAAGACACCCTTGTTGATTGGACCTACAATCTACAACATTGACTTTGTTGTGATGGACATCCACTCGACCTACAATTGCTTATTGGGAAGACCCTGGATCTATATTGCAGGGGCAGTTCCTTCATCTTTACATAAGAAGTTGAAATTCATGATTGATGGAAAGTTGATCAGCATCGAGGCTGAAGAAGAAACCATTGCTTCAGTAACATCTGATACCCCATACATCGAAGTCAATGAGGATGCATTGGAATGCTCCTTCAGGGCCTTAGAGTTCATCAATGCAACATATGTTACTGAAGAAAGCAAAATTCCACGCCCATGCTATTTTATTGTACCAAGATGGAAGTAAGACAAACTTCTAGAAGAGGGGAAAAGACTGGAAAAATACTGGGTAGGAATCTATAAGGAATAGTATGACCCATAGCCATCGAATGGAAGAGAGACCGTTTTAGGCTCGGATTCAAGCCCACATTCCAATAACGTGGCCAGGAGCTGAGAAAGAGGGTTGAAGTAATAAAAACTAGAATAAAAGGTGAGGATATCTTTTGGAAACGTATGTCATTCCCTCCTATAGAGAGTTCTTTCAAATTTGGAGGAGTGTACAATATGGAACATCAACTGACCAATGCTATCAAGACCAAGGAGTTGATAAAAGAGTATAATATGATGTGAGAAGCTTTTAAAAGAATGTATGTCAATATGATTACCAGGGGCAATCAGTCTAGAAATTTTTTAGCTGAAATTTGTCATTACTTCCCTGGTGAAGAACTCAACAACTCCATGGCTTAGGACCTCATTGTAATTTTTAGGGCTAATTCAAAGTAATGCTCAAAAATAACTTTTGTTAGCATTTAAAAATATCAAAAGAAACTTTTTGTAGAAATCAATGTTACTCAAGTTTATAGAAACCTGTTTTTGACCGGGGATTAAAAAAATATTATAAATATTAATTGTATATTATTATTATTATTATTAATTATTGTATTTTACATTTGCAGGCTAAAGCCCAATATAACCTCACCCGAAGCCCAACAAGATGAGCCCAAATACATTAACCCAGTTTAAGCCAAGACAAAATCGGATCCGACCCAGCCCAGTAACCCGACCTAATGAATTTAGGATTTGCTAAAATCCTAATCCTAAAGCAAGTTGCCACCAATTTCAATAGTCGCCGCACACCAGCTCAAGCCAAGTCACTGCTGGGCCATTCTTGCCACCAAATCTGTACCCAACTATAAAACAGAAATAAATCAGCCACCAAAGGCAAAGACAACTCCCCAACCTAATTTCACCTAAACCTGTCATTATACTACCAAACACAAGGAAATTAACATGCAAGAGGACAAGCAGAATTCAGTGGAAAAAATATAGAAAAATGGGGGACGAACACGAAGGAAAATGGGGAATTCATCATCATAAAAAATGAAGGAGCATCAGTTATTTATCATCAGATAAAAACAATTTTGTAAGGGAGTAAAAACGAGAGCACCAGAATGAGGAAAACAAATGTAAAGGGAGGGGTTCAGATTCTCTCCATTCTATTTTCAAAAGCAGTACATTAGGGAGTTTTTCTCTTTGTTATTCTCTGTAAACAAAAGAAAAGTAAGTATTAAAACCCCACTTTTGTACTTAAGGTATTTCTCTTGATCTATCTTGAATAAACAAAAGGCATTGGAAATTTCAGGAGGTATAATTTTTATTCATTTTTTTATTTATTTCCATGAATGTATTTTGTGTTCATGTTTCTAAATAAACCAAAATGACTCGGAAATAATAAGGTTGAGTATTTACCTTAGTGGTGTGGGTTCTCGGCAGCGTCGGTGGTTGGAGAGGCAAAGAACGTTGATTTACGGTGGTGGATTCGGTCTTTGGCGTAGGAGAATCAATAAACGGAACTCATTTAATAACCTTAGCAAGAACAACGAACCATTTATAAGAAAAAAATTCAAAGTAAGACAGAGAACTCACCTTGATGGCTGAGAGTACCATCATCATCCAAGAACATTGAGCATCCCAAAATAAGAATATAACTATGTTAAAACTCTTAGATCTGGTTTTATTTTGGAGGTTTTTTGAGTGGCTCAAGGTTTAGTTTAAGGATTTTTTTGTTTCGAAGGTGCCATGGGAGACTTTAGAACGTTCACATCTCATAATAGGTGTTGATCTACATCCATTAGGGATGTTGGCTCACTCGTCTCAGCCAAAGAAAATAACGAGGATGAGAGTACTGAAGAGGAAGATGAGAACGACGCTGTGAGTGGTGAGGGAGAGAATTGAAGTAGGATGCGACTGAAGGTTTAGTTTGAGATTAGGGTTAGGGTTAGTTCAAAGTAAGTTTTATATTAGCTTATTAGGGATAATTCTTTTAAGGTCACTGTAATTTCACCGCGTATTTTTAATTTAGTCACCTATGAGGTTTGTTTTAGAAGTTAAGTTTTTGTATTGTCTTGATCTTGTCATTTTTTATACTTGGGTGTCAGTTATAGTTTTTGGGTTAATTAAGTTAAGAGCCATCGTATTTTCTTTTTAATTTAGTTCGGTCTATAAATCAAGGTTTGCATGTTTATAATTCTGTTTATTTATTTTAGGTGCATTTAATTTTAGTCCTAGTGTAAATTTCTTTGATTTTCGTTGTCTAGACATTAGGATTATATAATTTTGCATGTTGCTTTTTGGTCCCGTATATGTTTAGGGTTTATTCTAATTTTAGTCATTTATAGTGGCGTCTTGTTTTATTTCAGTTTCATTGTTTACTCATATGTCCATTTCAATTATTATTTTGTTTGTATTTAATATAGTAGAGTTTGGTTTAATATAATTTGGTCCTTATTTTATTAAGTATGATTATTTTTTGAAAGTTGCATTTTTAATTGTTATGTTCTTATTTTTGCATTGAAGTCATAGTCGTGCATTACATATTAGCATACTGTTGGGATTTTCGGAAGCTCGATTCGATAACCGGAACGGTTTACAAAGAGGGGTTGGAACGGTTTTTGAGTTTAGGGAGTAAGGAGATTGAAAGATAGAAAATTGCATTGCGATTTAGAGTGGTTTGACTTTCTAAACCAAAGTCTACGTCCACTACCTTAGCTCCTCACCAAGGATTTTCCAACAAATTCACTAATTTGTTCTTTCTTTTGAGGACAAAGAGATAACCTTACAACTCCCTAGTTTTTCTGGGCTAAACTAGAACTTTTCCCTAGTTTTTACATGGGATAAGCTAGAACCTTTCCCCTTTACAAAAGGATAAAATAAGTAAACAAGAAAACCTCTCTAAGGTAGGTGTTTACAAGATTGAGCTCACAAGAACAAAATATTTACAAGAGAAAGATGAAATAAGATTGAAAAACTCTTATCTTGTGTTTGATTGCTGGATAGTGTTCTCTTCTATTCTTCAAGTTCCTTAGCTTGTATTATAGCTTGAAATGTGTTTGATGTTGTATATAGCCATTGGGTATGTTTTGGAGCGTTTGGGGATGATTTTTCAAATCCGAATTTAATGGACTTTGAATTATTTTTGAAAACCTTTTAAAAACTTTGAACAAATTCAATTCAAGTCCAAAAACATTTTGCCTTAAATTTGTTATATCGAAACATAATTCAACAATCTCCCTCTTTTTGATATAACAAAACATTTGAAAAATTGTTTTTGGCAAAACTCCCCCTTAATAAAATGTTTAATGAAAAAGATACCAATTGGTAACAAATACCAATTGTTTGAAAATATATGAAAATATTGTTCACCCTTTTTCATTAAAAAATTGAATTTTTCAAACCAAAACTTCTTCCCTTTTTGTTATATAAAAAATAATTCAATCTTTGAAGTTCAAAATAACTTTGGAGAGTAAGTAGTAAATTTGACATTTTAAAACTTATTTGAAAAATCAAAACTCCCCCTCAATAAATGCATTCCAAATAAAATTAAGCTTTTAAGATCATGACACTTAAACAAAATTGAATTTCAACAAAGAATAAAAAAACATGTTAGTAATACATGAAATTCAATATATCCAAGTCTAAAATACTTTATGAAATATTAATTATTGAAATTAAGTGCATATGCATAAAGTTTTCCAAAAATGTTATGCAAATTGAATTTCAACAAGAAAAAAACATGTTAGTAATACATGAAATTCAATATATCCAAGTCTAAAATACTTTATGAAATATAATTATTGAATTAATGCATATGCATAAAGTTTTCCCAAAAATGTTATGCATTTGAAATTTTGATATCAATTGTTAGAGAGATATCATTTTCATTTAAATCACATGCATAAACATTTAAATTTAGGTCAAAAAAATTAAAATTTGTAAAATCAAAGTTTTTGAAAAATTGATATAAATTGTTAGAGAGATATTATTTGCATTAAAACCAATTTTGACCAAAATTTTATTATGATGAACAAAAAAAATTATTAAAAATTTAAAATGTTCATCATAACCATTTTTTTAAAACATACATGAGATTAAAAACCATGCATAATCATTTAAAATCAAAACTCATGCATGCATAAATCCTATGAGCAACCAAATAACTAAAATTAAAAACATTAAGCTTAGAGGTTACCCATTCCTTTTCATGTGTGGTTAGAGCATCTTGAATATCATCATCTTCATCATCATTGCTCCTACACACCTACAAGAGACATTCATTTCGATTTTGGTATCCAAATTACTTTGGATCCTTGGACGTTAGTTTCAATGCCCCTTGTTCCCTTAGGAACCCATACTTGTCTAATTTTAAAATATTTTCCTTTCTTTAAAGGACAAGTATATTCCAAATGACCATAAAAATGACAATGTGAGCATTTTGCCATTTTTAAACATAATAGGTTATTTTTAGAAATTAATTTTTTTTCTTTTGTTAAGACTTCAAGCTTAACTCTTAACTCAAAATTTTCTTTTTCTAAAACATTTATTTTGATTTTTAAAAGCTCTAAATTATTTTTCAAAATTTCATTTTGATTTTCAAAATCAACTTTTGCTTTCAGAATCAAATTATCTTTAATTTTGAGTTTTGAAATTAATTTTGTATATTTGGAATTCATGGTCTCAAATCCAAATACAACCTATTATAAGCATCTTGTAACTCATCAAAAGTAAATAAATTAAATTCATTTGAGTTAGAAGATACCTCGAATTCTTCTTGAGTGGTCATGAGGCATAGGTTGACTACTTCATCTTCATCATTGGAATCATCTTCATCACTCCAAGATGCAACAAATGTCTTCTTCCCATTTTTCTTTAGAAGAAGGCATTCATACTTGACATGTCCCTGTCTTTGACAATTGAAACATATCGGGGGACTCTTCTTCTTGGTTGATTCATGTTTCACTTCCTTAGAAATCATGAATCTCTTGAGTTCCTTCAAGAGCTTGACCATCTCTTCTTCTTGTTCATCATCGTCTTCATCCACCTCATCACTTGAATCTTGATAGCTTTCATTGGTGGATTTGAAGGCAATGCCTACCTCATTCTTTTTGTTTTTCTTCTCTTCCCTTTCTTCATCTTCCTTCACCATCATCTCATGAGTGAGAAGGGAACCAATTAGCTTGTCGAGAGTGAGAGACTTTAAGTTTCTTGCTTCGATAATGGTTGTCTTTTTCGATTGCCACTCCTTTGGAAGAAAGTAGATCATCTTCCTCACAAGCTTCTCATTAGGGATTACTTCTCCATATCCCTCAAGACCGTTGACAATCACAGAAAATCTATCCGTCATAGCTTTGATGTCTTCATCGGGTTTTATCTTGAAGTTCTCGTAGCTATGTGAGAAGACTTTTCTTTGATTCCCTCACTTCGTCGGTTCCTTCATGAGTGACTTGGAGCTTATCCCAAATCTCTTTGGCACTATAACAAGATGAGATTTTTCCATATTCATTTGGGCCTAAAGCACATAATAGAATATGTATAGCCTTAGAGTTAAGCTGGAAATTTTTCTGCTCTTCTCTACTCCAATCGTTGTACTTGCCGGGTGGAGAGGAGTAACCATCCATGATTGAGTTCCAAGCTCCTAGATTGTAGGATTGAATAAATTACATCATCTTATTCTTCCAATGTGCATAATTTGCTCAATTGAAGAAGGGTGGCTTGTTGACCGGTTGTGAATCCATAATGGGATATTCTTCAAAGATAATAAGCACTGGAGGAAAAAGTCATTTCTTTGTCGGTTGCATCAGAAATTGGTAGAGCTTCTTCGAGGATCGTCTCAAGGTGGTTAAA